TCTGTGGGCCTGTGTGGTGTGGGTGTGGGACTTGCAAAGGCTCGGGAAAAATCTCTTCTTTATAATCACTTAGATCCGACTAGCAAATCGCTTGGAATAGCACAAAAAACGCCTCAATCCGGGTGCGAAACATACATTTCGAACACCCTGTAAATAGTGAGTGAGTAGGGTATTTCGTGGGCAAGCCATTGATGTGAATGAGCAATCGAAAGATAAAATATATCAAATTTCTTCTACTTTATCAATTATCAGGCATTATATTAAAGTAGCAAATATAGAAAGATGGAAACTTTGGAAGCTCAACTTTTAAAATTCTTTGACTTAGTTGAAACTTAATTTTGAAGCTATAATTTAAGTTTAAGAAAATATTTAACATTCAAGCGACTCAGGACTCAGCATCAATATTTGGTCTATTGGCTCTGCAAACATATAAATATATTAAAATATATATTTTATAATTTAACATGTCTCATTATTTATTATTCGATTTTTAAAATCCATCTCGACTTTGCTTTTATAGGAAATATTTCAGGACATCAAGCGGCCATATTTGGTCAGTTTATACACAATTTTCTTGTCCTTCAGCAAAATGTTGTTGTGTGTGTGTTTTCTTTTTTTGTTGCCTTTGCCGCGGGCGTGTCCATGGCTGGGTAGAAAATTATATGGCAGTTTAATTTGCGTGCGGCCCGCTTTGTGCCTGGACGCATTTAATGATGCGTATACGCAACGTTGACCCAGGCGACAGGACGGACAGGCAAATGCGGTGCATATCAAATTAATGGAGCTTAAGAGAGCGTACATAAAGAAAAATAAGACGACGGAAAAATAAGTAGGCGACGCCAGTTGCTGCTGACTTTGGCACAATAATTAAAAGCGATGCGGGCTCCAAAAAGTATGCAATGTCAGCGTGAAACGAAAGAAAGGAGGCAAGTGCTGTAATGATGGCTAAACTAAAGGCAAAGGCAAAGGCAACGGGAAAGGCAACGGCAAAGGCAAAGGCTGAGGCTGAGGCTCAGGCTAAGGCAAAAGCAAAGGCAAATAAATGGCATTAAGCGCTTAAGCGTTGTCTTCCAAAATATCTTTGCCACACTTTGCACAACTCAGCTGCAACTTTATGCAATTATGTTAATAACAATGAAGAGCTGCAGCCCCCACCCTTAGTTAGCTGCAAAGAATGTTGCGCAAACTTTGAAGGCGTCTTTATAGAAGATGCGAAAAAAGAGAAGAAAAGTGTGCGTGCAGCAATTGCAGTGCATGGGGTGGCTCGAAGGTGGTTTATGTAAGAGTCGGGATTGGAGGGACTTGGTTTGTTTTGGGTCGCTTACATATAATGGAATAATTGCCAGACAGCAAAGGCATTTGCGCTGCAAACTTTGAGCACATAATTTAATAAGTAAACACACACACACACGCACACAGAAACACACTTGCCACAACTCGATGGTGGCATATAAATATATGCATATATTCAATTTTTGCGCAAATTTTCACATTTGCGTTGGCCAGGCTTAGTCTTAATTGCCGCCATAAACTTGGGAAGTCCGATAAAACTTGAGCTTGTAATGGAGCAGATAGCTGAAAGGCCTGCAGATGCCTAATAAATTGCAGAAATTTCACAGAGAGTGGGGCTATCTTGAGTTCGGTTTACATATGCATTACATGTGTAATTTGTGCTGAGTATGTAACGAAATTAGAACTTTTGCTGCAGCTCACGAGTGGGCAAAAACTTGTGAAAATCTCAAGGAAATGAACTCTATGGGGATTGAAGAGGTGTGTATGGGGCAGAGGGGGAAGTAGGTTACTCGTTGCAGACAGTTAGCAAGTTGAGTCTATGGCGCAGATTAACTTGTAGCAAAGAACAAACATAACAGGCAGCAGCGGAGGGCGGGAACAAGCCCAAAATGCAGTTGAAGAAATTGAAAAAGTTTCCTTTTCTTTTTGGCTATCTTTTCTTTTTTGTGCCTTATTCTTAATGCAAAGTTCATGCGAGTTGCCTGTCTGACAGTCTACGGTGCTGCAGAAACTCTGACAGTTAGTAAGTGTGTGTGCAGGCGAGTGTGTATGTGTGTGTGCAGTGAAGCATGCGCTAGCGCAGCTGCAAAGCAGAGAGCTGTCTAAAAAAGCGCTAAAGTACACACCCAACACACACACACACACACACACAATATTACATGCTGTAGTTGCACATGTGCCACGCCCACTGGCAAACATGTGTTGCTCAACGCCTCGTCTTGTAGCTGGCTCTTAAATTACACAAACTTGACTGCTATAAAATTCAAATTAACTCCTGCGCTGGGACGCTGTGTGTGCCTGTGTGTGAGTGTGTGCTCTGTTCGCTCTAATATGAAAAATGAAAACAAATCTTAATTAAAAATTATTGTTGACATTTCTTTCGCTTCTCTGCACTTTTCCCCGTTTCATTTTAGCAATTTTTTGTTTTTCAGCTTTTTGCTCTTTGCTTTTTGGCTGGTGCCACGCGGCGTATGCGTAATTCACATGAGCGAGCAGCAAGACAATTAAAAATGTTCTTGTTCATGCTCGTGCTGGCATTTTCAACAAGTGTTTGTGCAACTTTGTTAAGATTGTTAATTTATAAGCAGATTGCTTAGGAAAATTTAGAACTTGGCTAAATAAGTTTCGCCGGATTGAGATTATTAAAAATTTAGATTTCCAACTTTTCTCTTTAAGGAAATTGAAGTTTTTGCTTGGCCCTATTTACACTTAATTAGTGAGGTATATTGAAGAGGCAGCTATAACTATGACTTGTCAATTATTAATACATAATATCGAGGTAGGGTCATATTGTATAACTTAAATCCAAAGGTATAAATTTGGAATTTTTTGCTTAAATATGTTGAGTTCCTTTTCCTATTGCATATAAAATTCACTAATATTCATTAATAAGCTAATGTTTAGCAGAACTAAACGAAATCCGGCTTGGCAAACAACTCAAATATTGATTTGAATCAGAAATTTGCTTTTACTGACGCTGCTTTGGCAGCAGTAATTCCACACCTGAATACCGAAAGCTTAATCAAGTTGAGCTCTTAATTTATATAGCGCTGAAAGCATATTAACAACAGATTTGATGAGGCGCACGAATTTATCGGCTTCGTTTTTGTGCCCATAATTTGCACACGCAACCCGCAACTGGAGCGGGTCGAAGATTAGGCCACGCCTCCATATCGCAAAGCTGAGCAATTCGATGCATAAGACACGTGCGCCTTAAGCTGCGACTTATCGATTTGCTTAAATTGCGAAACTGAGCCTAAGCCGTGCTTTAATAAAAATACTAGACCCGCCCCCTTTTCAACTGCCACGCCTCTGCTCTGTGGGATGGCAGCCATCTTGTATGGCAAAAGCTTAAAGTCATATAAGCTGTGAGCAGAGCAGTGTTGCAAAGTTTCACGAAAGTTTCATTTTAACTTTGTTACGCAGTTTCTTGTTATTTGTTTTTGCTGTTGCTGATGTTCACTTTTTATGCGATATTAAGAACGCTGTTAACCCCTTGTTGCCGGCATGACTACAACGACCTATTTTAAACTCTAGCCAAAGTTTTCCCATACACATACACGCACACACACACACACGCACACGCCTCATTGCATGCAAATAAACATTCAATATGTAAGGACACTGCAACATGTCGCAGGATAAAGTTTCTTTTTTTCTTCATATGTGTGTGTCTGTGTGTGCCTCTGTAGTTAGTTTTCTCATTCCCCCCAATTGGTTTCTATCAGCGCATTTTGATTTTGTTCTTGAACGAGTTGCTCAATTGTTTTGGCCATGTTGCAAAGAGCAGTTGCAACTAGTTTACTTTTATTGCATTGTCGTGCGGTTGCAAGTCGCCAAGAAGTATGCTTTTAATTTGCGAAAGTTGCATGTGCGGCAGCAGTTGCCCAAAAACTTCCAAGTGCCACACAGACACCGGGCAAGAGAGCGAAAGGGGCAGAAAGACTACCTGCAGCTGATTAGAGCTGCTTGCCACACCTGATGTGTGTGAGTGTGTGCCACAATTTACAGTTAACAGCTACTGTGGCCAATTAAAACATGTCTAAAAAGTGCTTATCTGGCCAATTAGTGGCAAATCATGCCATAGCTTAGACTTGCCACACACTCCTCGCCACGCCATAAACTTTTAGTTAAATGTGTGCTTATTTTTTTGTTGTAGCTAAAGTTTCGCACGTTTGGCACTCATAAAAAATTCTGAGGAAACAACAACAGCTACAGCAGCAACGACAACTTGTCATAAAAAGCAAATTAAATGGAAGAGATTTGAGACGCGCACGCATCGAGCAATTAGTTTTTGCAATTTTAAGTTAAACTAATTAAATTTAATTGCGAACACTTGGCAAAAGCCACTAAAACTAAAGAAACTTTTCGAAAAAGTGCCGAGAGAGAAAATAATATATATGTAATAAATGGAAGCGGGCAGAGAGCTGTGGCAGCTGAAATACCCTCGAATGGCAAACAATTTATACTCAGCTTCTTCTGATTGCGGTAAAAATATTTATGGACTTAAAAACAAATATTGTCATACAAATTATAGATACTCAAGTATAATTTATATATATTGTAGATGATTTTTGTATAATTATTATATATTCATTTAACTATCAGCCGAAAACAATTTTTGCAAATTTAACATCTGTTTCTTGCTTTTCAAATTCATACTTCTATAGGAACTATATCTTATGTATATTCTATACTCCTATAATAGCTGACAGGTATGAGTAAGTTTGGGATTTAATTCTTCTAACACATGTAGAAATCATAAAGAAGTTAGTTTGTGCTGAAGCTTGCATCCAGGCTGAAGCGATTGGCTTTATAAAACTCAAACGACTTGAACTCAAACTAGTATATTCTTCTATATAAATACAACAATTTTCCTCCGTAATACCCTTTAAATTAACCAATTTCGTAGTGTGAACAGGGTAATTAGCAGAAACTAAAAAGAATATTTATAATCAACATAAATATTTACCTGAATAATAAATTGCTCTGGGCTGTGCGTGTCTGCAATAGAGTAAGAGAAAGAAATTAAATTAATTATATGAATTTAGATAGCTGAAAGAGTTGTAATAATAGTGTTATTACGAGCACTGTATCATTTGCATAACATATATACACACACATCTAAAATGTTGATGGCTTTTTGCGGCTGCCACAAAGCAAGTTGCAAAATGTGAAAAATGTACAATTTCTGCTGCTGCTTTTCCACCTTATTGGCTTTCAAGTGGGCTTAGTTGGAAAAGTTATTCTTTTTATTTGCTACCGCCACCGCCACCGCCGCCGCCGCTGCAGCTGCTTCTTCTTCTTGTTGCTATTGAGGACAGCCGCCGCCGCGGGCCTACGCTCGGCAACGAGTATTCACTGTATCCAAAGCTCGTATAATGCCATGTCATGCCATGCAACTGTGGCACGACCTTCGCCGTGTGTCTGCCTCTATCTGCGTGTGTGTCTGTGAGAAACTGTGCACCTTGCAACAGAAACTAGAGAGAGACAGCTAGCCAGGGCTGACTATCGTGCAGCTAGCCCTCTTCCACTGCCAGAGCCCAGCGCCTAGCACCTAGCGCCGCGCCCCTCGCTTCCTTCCTGCTGCACAGACATCGAGCAGCAAACGAGGCAAGGCGAATTTTTATGCAATTTTCTTTTATTTTTTATGGCAAATGCCAAGGAAAACTGCGACGACAGCGGCTTAAAATTTAAATCGCTCCACAAAATCGAAATTGAAAAAAAAAAAAATGCGAATAAAAGCTGTCGGACAAGTCGCATGGGCCATTTACTTGAAAAGGAAATCAGGATATAAGAAACGGCCTATCAAATCGATAAGCAACAATTTGCATAATGAAATTTCTCAATGTAATATTGATATGGGAATGTACTTAGCTATTGCAAAATGTAGAGATTTGTTTAGTTAATAGAGTCGTGGAACTACATATATATCGGCATGTCCATATATTGATTGGCACACATTATATTTGTTATATATATCCCGGTTTTAAATAGTTTGAAGGGTTTCTGCTTGGGCTTGTTCCATGTTTGACTTTCAGGAATTTTAGAGAATTTAACATAAATGTTTAAAGTATAAACTCCATTTTCATAACCAAATCCATTTTGGCTCGAATCTGTTTTGAAAATTCATTTTAATATTCAAATCTGATTCGCTTTTACTAGCAAAGATTTTTTTTACTAATTTGAAATGCTTTTCTTTACTAATTTAATATCTATTCCGATTTCATATACCAATTCCAATAAGTTAATATTGTCATTAATTTTTAGTCAAGAAAAGATTGAAGAAAGTTTATTATTTCAGATCTGCTTAGCTATAATTGCAGCTCGCTTCCAGTTTAGTTAGAGATGTTTCTGCCTAAACAGATTTTTACGCTAAATAAAAGTTTGACAAATCAGTTTCTGTATAGAGATAAAAAAATATTTATATATATATGTGAAATATATTTCGAAAATATTTTATTAAAAATTAAATTATATTTTTTCATTAAATTTCTAGTTGAATTTCTAATCGACAAAATGTGCAATTTAATTTAATTTGCCTTCAATAAAAAATCGAAATGATATTGAATATTTCTTTTTGAACGGCGCTCGAGGACTTCGTAGGAATATAATCAAATTTTCAACACGCTGCGCCCCGCTGTAGCAACCGTGCCACCATCGCTGGCAATTGATGTTGCAACACTTTCGGTATTTGGGGACTGCTACCAAATTGATGGCAGCATCTGCGGGCCGTGTCAATTTTGGTGCACTTTGTTGCTTGATTTGCGCGCGTGGCGCGAATTTTGCATAACAATTGCAAATAGGGATGAGTGAAGCGAGAGGGGGCAGGACATTGGGGCACAATTGATTTAAATGTTTGCGCACATGTTTTCCAGCCAGCAGCATGCAACAAAAAGAAGTCGAAGGGAAAGAGAAAACGCAAAAGCGCAGAAATTGCAACAAACGAAAAGAATTCACGTAATAATATGCAAAGCGGGAGGCGGGCCGACTGCAAGAGGCAGCGATGTGTAACGAGTGGGAGGCTGTGGGACTAATCGAGGGGGCGTGGCGGCTGCTTGCAATTGTCGCAGCATGTCGCGCCGAGCTGGGCGTTCGCGTCAACAACATTTTTCCAACTCAATTACCAGGCAGCTGCGACGTGTGCAACGTGCACCGTGCACCGTGCACTGTGCAACGTAAAAAGCAAATCTCAAGCGACGGAGCAGCAACAGAAGCTGCTGCTGCTGCTGCAGCAGCAAATAAAGTCAAATATTGACAGGAAGCATTAGGGAGGCATAGAGCGTGGGTTTAACTTTTGGCTGGCTACTTTAAGCAGCAGCCAAGGAGTTAAAGCCTGTTCAAGCTCTGTGGCTGCAAGCCCTGTGGCACGTGCAATGTGGCAGCTGTTGCAGCTATTTATATTTGCCTGCCACAAACAGACAGAAGGCATGACAGCCACACACACACAACATCAACAGCAGCACACACTAATAAATAAACACGGCAACTGTCAGTCAGCTGAGATGAGCCCTTGCCTTCAGCTGCAAACTTCTGTCAGTGGCTAATCACTCATATAAATAAACCCTGGCTGAGAATGCTCCGCATACCTCTGTGTGTGCATGTGTGCGAGTGTCGAGTGTGTGAATATGTGTGTGCATTTCTGCAGGTGCCTGCCAACAATGCAGCGCCCATTTGTTGTTGGTTTCTGTTGCTATCTTGCTACTGCTTTGGCTGCTCCTTGCTGCATGTTTGGCATATGTAAATTATGCCAGTGCCAAGTCAGCCACTTAACTCACAACCAGTAACCTTCCCCCGTCGCTCCATCTGCCCACTTCGTGCTCTCTGTCAGTCATTCAGTCAGCTTGAAAATTTGCCGCTCACCCATCAACGTCAGTGCACAGGCAACTGCAGCTCTTGCTGATTGCAAAAGTCAACTTTTTGGCTCCGCACTGTCTCTTCGCCTCTCTCTCATCTCAATGTCTACTTCTCTCTCTCTACTTTGTACACACTTGTTATCTCTTTCACGTTTTTTCGGGCATTGAGTGTTTGCACTTTGCATACCCTGCACAGATTCAGCATTGTAAGCAAACTGCATAAGCTATCCGCAGTGAAAACCCAAAAATCTAATATTTCCTTTAAAAATTTGTAAATATTTGGAATAATACTTAATAATTTTTGTATATTTTATATATATAATATTAATATTTTTAATATTTATTATGTATTTGTCATGTTATATTACAGTCTTTGCCTAGCTCTATTCATTTTCCAGTTTATCCTATTTTAAACTGCATTTCTGAAGCTTTACAGCGCTTTACATGGTATCTTATAGTCCATCAGCTCAGCTTTTGACATGCAGATTGTTTGTATTTGCTGTCGTTATTATTGTTGTTTTTGCTTCTTGCTGTTGCTGCACTCGAGTGAGCAAATACTTTATTAAAACTCTGTTTGGGCGCCGCCAAGCAAAATGTAAATCATTCATGTGCCACAACAGCAGCAGCAGCAGCAACAGCAGCAGCTGCAGCTGTTGTGTGCTGAATGTGTGTGTGTGGGTGTGGGCGTGGCTAATGAGCAACTCTTGTGCACTTGTTTTAATTTTGGTTTACGGCTCAAGTGTTTGGCTTGAGCTGTAAGTTAAATATATGCCAGCTAAAGCAAACACACGTTACGCATACGCAATGTTTGCCAAGGCAACACGAGTCGTAGATGGCGAGTCGTAGAGACGACTGATTCAGCTTGGTAATTGATATAAGAGCTAATAGTATTACGCAGCATGTGTAGCCGGATGTTTGTGAAGGCTACTTGAGTAGCTGAGCTATCAGCTAGCTCAGCAAATTGCTTGCATCGCCGAAGGACATGAAAGGACAATCGAAATGGCAAAGACTCTGAGCTATGTCAAGTGCCGACTTGAGTCTAACCCTTTTTCTGGCTTTGATGTGTTCGACACCTTGACAAAAGGCGTCCAAAAAATGTTTGGTGTCAAAACCAGCTGCCGTCTGATGCTTCATTCCCCACCCTTTCATCCACAGCCATAAAATGCGATACTCGCGCCTGTGAGTGTGCTATAAAAAGCTTTGAATCACGTCATTCGAATGTCAACATTTATGTATTTTCTTCCTTTTTTTGTTGAATCATTCACTTGACTTGGGCGTCAATCAATTCAAAGCCTAAAACTTGTTATGACGCTGGTAGAACGTGCTGGACTAGCAGTTACCCTGTTCTTTGAATGAAATTCACGTTGTAAAACTAAAATTCATTGTGTTTAATCTGAATTTCTTCTCAAGTTCGAACAGTTCCTATTTAAAACAATTATAAAATACTTTTTATATCCTATTTAACTCTTATCCTGTGTCCTATTCTTGGATTATGAGTTCGATCTGCTTTATATCATCCAACTTCATCTATGAATGCTCCCGAGCAGCTAAGATATCTAACAGTCAATAGACATTTCTTCCATTTTAACTATTTACAGGTCATTTAAATATAGACAAAAGACCTTTTATCTATTCATATTGCCTGACTTGCCGCCTCTCGCTGTCTGTCGCTCAGTCAGTCTGTCCGTTTCTCTGTCTGCCTGTCTGATTGTTCCGCCTAATTTCTGAGTGCCTGTATCTCTTTTGGAGCTCCATTGCTATCGACTTGTCTATCTGACTCGCCTGTCTGTGGCGCCACGCCCCTCCTGCGCTATGCTATGCTATGCCTTGCAGTCATGTGTCAAACTCTTGATGTCAACTTCTGATATAATATTGACAGCTAAACAAATCCAATTATGCCCAACTCCTGCAGCACACACGATACGGTTCGAGGAGAAGCTTTTTGGTCTTCTAACTTTCGGAATATGCTAAATGTTGACCATGTTTGCTTTAGATATGCAATGTGTATGTAAACTTGTGTGCGTGTGAGTGTGCGTGTGTCTGTGTCTGTGTGCGTTGAAGCGCTTTAAACGTTTTCCCACTGCTGACCACTGGAGCAACTGCTACGATATTTCAATATTCCGATAGGCTGCCTGGTGATTGCTGTTGTTCTTGCTCTTCCACAGATGTTGCTGTTATTGTTTTTGTTGTTGTGGTGCCAGTAAATTGCGTAGGTGTGCAATTGAATTATTGCAGTCAATGCACACATTCACACTGCTCCTACCCCTGCCTGCCCGCCGCCCTGCTGCCTTCATCTTCTCCTGGTCAGCCGCCGCCGCCTGCTATCATAAATATGGAATTTTGAGCCTACGCAGTAATGCAGGCGGCACAGCCTGCATATTATCCACAGCTCTCGCTGCGCCCTACCCTCTGTCTTGCCACACCCTGCTGCCAGCTGCCTGCTGCGCTGGGCAAACTCGCAGAGACTGTGCCAACAACCATTTTACGGTTTATTTTTGGGGCATTGAATGCAAATATTGGCATAAATTTTGGCTGTTGCGGTTGGCAGCAAGTCTCGCTCTCTCCCTCTCTCCATCTCTCTCTTGCGCTGTGTGTGTCGCACAGCTTCTGATTCGGCTTGACTATAGCCAAATTTCATTTGGCTTTTGCCACAAACACACACACACACACACAATCTGACAGACACACACTGATGTCTGAGTGCATTGTTTGCTCTCCGACAGAATGTACTTGGATTTCAGATTTTGGATTTCGGATTCTGAATTTGGCAATTGGCAACTTGGTTGTGCCTCATTTGGACCAGCAAATCGCATTTTGTGTTAACAAATTTGTTGGATAAAGGTCAAAATATGCAACGAATTGCTTAAGGAATCTTAAAACTGAAATTGTAGATAAATGTTAGTTAGCTACGCAATGCGGAAAATAGACAAAGGGTAATTGAAATCAAGACATTTATGCTTCACAGATTTATCCAGCATTCAGCATCCATAAAGTAGAGGATAAGATAGCTGTCTGCCATCTCTCTTATCATCCAAGCCACAGTTTCCCATTTGTATACTCGCAAAGACTACGAGCTTCGCTAGATATTTTCATTGGCATATCTTAAAGCTTGAAACACATTAAAACTTTAGCTGTCAAAATGTTGAGCGAACGAATTTCCCACACCTAAAGATTTCAATACCAAAGTCGGCCAATAATTATAAGAATGTTTAAGTTTAACTTGCTGGCCAACTGTCACTGGGCTCCTCCTTCTTTTCCTTATTGCCCTCGACTGTTAGCTGAAGGCCTACCACGTGGCTGTTGATTTATGTGTTTGTTTTTGGTTTTTGGCTGCCAGCGGCACATTTATCAGCGAAACAACAAAGCAGCAGTAGACAACGACAACAACAACAACGCTAACAACGAGAAGAAAAACAAACAACGAGCACAACAAATGATAGATCAGCCTTTGCAGCATCCCCTTGGCCAAGTCCTTGCCGGGTTTATTTAGGCAGCCGCAACTATTTGAATTCCTCTGCAAAAAGCACTCAAGAAGAGTTCGCTGCCAATTGGAACTCAATACGTTTGGCATTTCCAAGCGTTTCGGTTCAAAGTTCAATTAAGTGAACATTTGTGAGCGGGGTAACGAGAGTGTGAGGCGCATTCATTGTTAAGCCTTTGATTGCTATTTAGGGCAAACATATAAATTTGCACAGCTAGAACACGGCTACGGGCAACGCCCAATTCGAAATTCGAAACGCCCCTTTCCCAACAACGGAGGCAGTTGCTGCGCCTGCTCTGGTTTCGGCTTTAGCTCCTGCTCCTGCCACAAATCAATAAATTAAACGCGCCTTTAAAGATATTTTCCACTGACTACTCTCTACCTCTCTCTTTCCCTCTGTCTTACACACATATTTTGGCTGTGCCGTAAATCGCTTGCACGGGAAATTGGCAAAAACATCAAAAAACTTTTCTTGGCCCGCAAAACTATGCTACAGCGAGTGTTCGGCTGCTGCCTAAAACTATGCTAATTTCCGAGTATTTCTGTGTTCTGTTTGCTTCTATGTTGTCCTTGCTTGTACACATGTCCTTCGGTCCTAAGTAAACCAATTTGTTATTTGCCTTTGTGTCTGTGTGTGTTTCTGTTTGTGTGTGCGAGCCTCGAAAATTCTATTAAAATGGCATAAATTACAAACTCGATTTACAGCCGAAGAGGCGCGACTGTCGGCATGGGTGTTTGGGGGTCCGGGAGGTGACAACGCACTTAAATACATTTTAATTAGCTGCCAAGGCAATTGGCAGGACACTCGCACCCACACTCATTCACCCACACAGAGCCAGCCAGCCAGCCAGCCAGCTCAATGGCGCTTTTGATTTTCGCCTCAAAGTGTGCTACAGTCTCATTTTTTCCTTTGCCTTCCGTTTTTCCTTCATTTTCCGGTTTTCATTTGCACAAAAGCTACTTAGACACGATTTTCCCTCGGTCCAACAACTACAACAACAATGGTCATTGGTTTTGGTCCATGGCAAAATGATGAAAGGCATTTGGCTGTGATGTTTAGTTGCAAAACAATTAAGCTGAAAGCAAAGCTGTGTAGTCGAGTGTATGAGTGTAGGAGTTTAGGTGTGTGTGTGAAATGAGATGAAATGAAATCGCTCTGAAGAAGATCAAGCAAAAGTAATTTACAAGCAAATAAACGACGGGAAAATACGCTATGTCAAGCATTCAAATAACTCAATCATTAAGAAGTATTGGAGTGAAAATTGTAGCTGAAACATCTATTGATATTTATGCATTTGGAATTTCTGAAGTAAGTCTAAGGCAAAAGTTCCAGAATCATACATACATTAAGCCAAGCAGCTAGGCCTGTTTTGACTTCGTATTCAAATATTTGTATTCTCATGTAGAGATATTCAATTGCCTAAAAGCCCCAAGCTCAGAGTTTGCAATTCAAATTCAATTCCGTCTATTACTCATCAAGCTTCAAATTTATATTGAATTGCCGTGGGGTTGAGTTGAGCGAATATCTCGCATTTTTCACTTAGCGAAGAGTTTTCTTATAAAAGAAATATGTAAATTACAGAAAAGATACCGAGACATTCGTACATAAGACAGACACGGATTGATGGGTTAAGGAGACCAAATGAAGTACCTTAAAAATGCTTAATATTGAGAATAGGATGGGAGCTGTGTGTTGTGAATTTCTTTTAGGATCACTGCAGATCCAATGTAAAAGTGAAGAGCATATATTAATGTCCAGTGATATCATGCTCTTGAATTTCAGAGACTTGGCATGTCAGTCAGTCTGTTTATCGTTAGCTTTCACAAACCTTTACCCCAGTTAGGCATGCTCTATAACCTACTTGTTGTTTTTATATAGAGTATAGAAAGCGTAAATGTTTCGTCATTGACAAATGTGAAGTGCGTTGGAGCGATGTTTCGACATTAGCATTAATAGTGTGGCATTAATTTCAGGGCGCCATATATAAGTACACATTTATATACACATATATATATATATAGAGGTCCAATTAGAACTACCGACGGCCATCAAGGTGTGCGTGCGTGTCCGTGTATGTGTGTTTGTATGTACGCGGATGGGCTTTAAAGAGCACATAAACACATTACCACATTACGTATACAACGGGGCTGTCAGGCCCCAGGCTCCATTAAATCCACTTGACAACAACTTGAGGTAATGTTTGCATATGCCAGGATCCTAGCTACGTTCTGGGCCACGCCCCGCTGGCCCTCTACCCTCACACAGTTTGCATAAATAATTCATTTGAAAGGACGCTTTTAGGTTCGCAAAACTGTTGTAGACAAAACTGCTTAAATATGCATAATTACCTGAGACATCTGGGGGTGCTGCTACGCCCCCGCTCTAAAGTGAAAAAGATAGAGAGAGAGAAAACGTGGGGGAGAACGAGAGTAGCCAAGTTTTCTGGAGTCTCAAGTCAAGTCAAGTCTGACGTGCTCGTGCCGGAAGTGTGTGCTAGAGAACGCATCCCGTCCTTCCTCCCTCGTCCTTCGTCCTTCGTGCTCTGTCCTTTGCCCCGGGCACTTGGCATAAATTTTGGCCTCTGTAAAAGTAAACAAGCAGAAATAACATAAACAACAGTTGGAGTCAAGTGGGAAAATGAGCGGATTTTCTCTTGCTACAATTTCCACAATTGCCACAATTGCCACAAAATTGGCGCACATTAAAATAATAAAAATTGTTGACAAAATATTTAACTAATTGGGCTTTACTTTCGTTTGGGCCAATAAAAATCAGTTGAAATATTTTACTAAAGCGACAAGCGCAGTCAAAGAGTCAACAACGAAATATGTAAGCCAGGTGGTGGCACGCAACATTGTCCTGTGGCATGTTGGCACTCGTATCCACCCTTACCTGCACGTTTCACATTCCGTTTCCGTTTGGCCATAAATATAATTACAATAATAAAGGAAATATTTACAACAATTGTAAATATCTCGACTCAATTCTGGCTTTCAGCACGCACGGCCTCAAATTAATAAACTCAAATTGGCAACGCCTCAAGCCAACCCAACCTTGTATACCCTATTCCTGGTGCCCCATAGGCAGGACTGCCTGCCTGATTGCCGGCGCCAGCGCTTCCTGATGAGCGTGTGAGCTCATAAAGATTTCCTGCCCCTGAAGGCTGTGCGTGTGCCAAGTGACACAAGCCAAGCTGTTCAATCGGAAGTTTGACTTGCTAATACCCTGTGCCAGCTCTAAGCTATATTAAGTCATGACAAGTCATATGCTATACATTCCCACAGCACTTAAGGCACCTCAGCAGTGTCATAGCAAATTCAAGAGCTCTAAATTCAATAGCTGTCGAGTTCTTTGAGAGTATCTAGAGACTTAAGCAGTAGTCTCTTAATTATGGTCTGGGTCTTGCCTTCTCATGCCTGCTATGCAATCCGGTCACAAAGTCCTAATGCGTTTAATCGGTGCGCAGGGTATCTAAGGGTAAGGCGTGTCGCTTTGTGACACTTGCTAGCCCTTCCACCCCTTCAGCTGAAGCTACTTAATAGAACCTTTACGTTTAACTGTAACTCTGACTCGCTGGCTGGTATCTGATTACAGTCGCACGCCATAATGTCATCATAAATTGTAGTTAGCCGGGTTAAGGACCAGTTCAGACAGTGGCTTTGATGGTCGGCTCTGTATGATTCAGCCACTGGCTTTGTGGCAGGTTGAAAAAGCGTGGCGCATAGAGAATTGTGTTTAACATGCGGCACTTGAGCGAAATGAAATTTATGATTAAACCAAAGTCCTTGCCCCATGGACACGCTACATAGTCAAAGGTAAGCGCTCTAGCTCCAGCTCTAGTCCCAGCTCCACCTCCACCTCCATCGCCATCTCCAGCTCCAGCTCCAGCTGTCCAACTGCTCAGGGCCGTATGCTAAAGAGATCTCTGTGTGTGTGTGTGTGTCGACGGGGGCAGCAAGTGGGCAACGGGGCATATGGCATGGAGCATGGGCACTCGCACAATGGCGGCCGTTTACCGCAGGCCAAAATGCCACACTTAAGTGAATTACAAAAGCAGCTTGCCGAGCCAGCTTGTCGAGCACTATGCAAAGGGCAGGCGGGGCAATAGAGCAGTCAGCGTGTGGTATGCGGCACGCGGGCTGAAAGTCAGCCAGTCAACGCGTTGACAGCCACAACAAGCGGCTTAATCGCATTAGAGCCCCTCCCCAGCCTCTTCACCATCCCTATTCCTATCCCCATCTCCATCTCCACTCACCATGCCAGGAGCCAGTGCCGGGCCCTTGAAGTGCCGACGGACGAGCGACCGGCAACGATATTCCAAGAGCCAAGTGCGACAAACTGATTGTGTGGCGCCACACAGCGCATAGAGTCACGAGTGGGCGTGGCATCTCTCGCCTCCCAGTTGCCAGCCAGCAGAGGCGCTAAGCTGCGCATTGTGCGCGCCAACAACAGCGACAACGCAAACGCCACTATTTATATAAAGAAAAGCCAGTCGAGCAGCTCCTGTGGGGACAGAGGCAGGCTCTGAGCAAGGAAAGCTATGGAAACTACAGCAGGACTAGCAGGACGTAGCCGTGGTGCCAGGTCGCCTGGGCAATTGCTCTGCCACACAAAAGTTCACAGGCGGCAGGCAAAATATATGTATGAATAAAAAACCAACAAAAAATCGAAGTGGAAAGAAATGAGTGCAGCTTGCCTAACGACGAGTTACCCTCTACTTATAACTCTTGATTTGCTTATGAAACAAAGATTGCAAATTCTGCAAGAGGGAATATTTAATAAAAGAGAGAGATAAATAGAGTTAGAAATTTTGTAGAACATTTTCTAAGCTCTTTTTCTCTATTAGAATCTATGAAAATCTTGACGCAACTATTATGCACATAAAGTTAAGATATTTACAGTTTATATAAACACCAAGAATAAGTTAAGGAAAGCCATTATTCAATTATACTAGGACATAAAGAATATGTGCTACAATGTGCTACAAACATTGCTTAGCACTATATGCCCGCTCAGTGTCTTTTCTATAATTGCAAGGTATAAAAAAGGAATATTTATATTGCACACAAAAAAATGTAATTTTTCAGGGAAAAGTAAAAAAAACGCAATTAATCTACGACAGAGCGCATTTCGGGCACAAAGGACGAGGGCAAGGACAGGCGAACAGTTGTAGTCACAGTCACAGTCAGATTCACAGTCACAGTCGCAAAGTCTGGCAACTCTGGCAGCTGCGTCGAGTAGAGCACAAAGTGCTTATACTCTGCTTCCTGTCCAGCAAATCCAATAACTTATCTTGATTTTATGGTTATTTCAACAAAGGCCGGAAGTTGTAGGTGCAGCAAAGACGACAGCGCACCCAAAAAAGGCAACATGGACGGAGGGAGCGCGGCTGAGGGAATGGTTGGCACTCAAAAACATTGTGTAGTTATTCCCCGCCTCTTACTCTAGCCCGCTCTGGCGGAATGTGTTTTTGCATTTGACATGCCATTGTGTTTGTCCACAGGGTTGGAGAGGGGCTGAGCATTTAAGTTTACTTGTCTGCTGTCCGTTACGATTCTGTGTGGGTGTATGTGTGCGTGTGTGAGAGAGTGTGTAGGCGTGTATGTGTGTGCAATTGACATATGGTTTCTTTAGAGTATTCGTTTGTCTACTCCCTCTCTCTCTCTCTCTCTCTCTTTCTGTGTGCTTTGTAAATTTTGCATGAAATATTTTATTTGAAATGTCCTACATAGTATTGTAAAGTCCTGCCACTTGTTTCTATTCCCACAGTTGCTGCAGCTGATGGGCATTTATTGATGCAACTCAAGCCGCCACCTGCCTCTGCCCCAGCAAGCAGAAGTCAAGCTGCTTGTAAGCTGACATTATCAAGATTAATTGAGGTTTCCTATAAATTTGAATATATAGAAATGGTATTTATGCGACAGTTACAAGGCGCTTGGCCAGGTGTTTCTGTGTGTACTTGCATTTGACATTTATGAGCCGCATAAATCTTGCGGCAACAAACAGCATTTAAATGCAACATCAGCTTTTCGACTAATTGATTAACAAATTGCACACAACCTCAAACTTCTTCGGTTGGCAAATGTGTGAGGGCTTTACAGCTTTCAGTCAACAACAACAACGACAACGACAACAACAACAGCAACAAGACAAAAATTTCAATAAATATTTAAATTTTAATAATCAAATTATGTTGCAGCAATTACGAGAAAAGTAAATGAAAAATTGCGGAGAGAGCGCGCGCCGCCCTAAACACAGCCAAGGAAAATCAAATTGGGGAAAGCTGCTGCAGGGGTACAAAAAGTTTTCGCCAGATTGGCATGCTGAATATTTTCTGACGCACCCGCAGGAAAACAGCTGCCAAGTGCAGGGCGAAAAAAAAAATAGCGGAGAAACAGATGAAAATAAAAAGGAGAGTCTAGATAGAAAGTGTGGAATACGGCGGGGCAGATGGCACAGACAATGATAATGATATTTTCCTTATTCCAGCAGGAGGGATGCTCAAAATTTATGCGCCAATGGTTTTTCTGCTTTTCGACCGTATTACATATTCATTAAATTGCAGCGAGCGGAGGCTGGCTGCCAATCTCGGTTGAAACGCTCTCTGTAGGCAGCTCAACTCAAGCATCAATGGCAATTCTCTAACCTCTCTCCCGCTCTACCTCAGGCTCTGTTTCAGCTAGTATCTAGTTTCATCTAATTGGTAATCATCGCGGCGCACAGCATCCGCAGCAGCATTAAGAAATCAGAGAAATAATGTTGAAATCGAGCTCAAAACTCGTTTGTTTCAAACTGTAACAAAGGCGAAAATTAGACAATGACGCAACTTGATATTCGCTTAGTGCTCAAAAGTCATTGCACAAATAAATAAAGTGTATATTCTTATATATGTTAATGTATATAAATATACTATTTAGAAATGTCTAAAGAAATGACATCAGTGAATTGCATCATGCACAGAAAATGTGGAGACATTAGAATATCGAACATGGACTCAATACCTTGTCTTCATTTCTCTAAGTATCTGAGCAAATGAACATCGAACAAAGCTGATTATACTTTTTATTACGATTCGTTTAATAAGTAATTATAATTGATTTGACTTTCAGATTAAATTAATTCAAATACTTGCAAAGGCAAAGTATTTGAAATTTGAGCTAAAAGCATTCAAAATTTTAAAATGTTTTATTTATGAATAAAAATGATTTAGAGAAAAAATTTAAGAAAAATCTTTCATTCAAGTCAAAATTAGAAATAAAATTAAAATCAATATAAATGTCGGATGTTGAGTTAAAGATATATAAACAGTCTCAAATTGGGGCTGGCAATTTCGGAATTAAGCCCAAACTAATTCTGAACTTTTTAGTTTCTTTAAAAGTCAATAATAAATGAATTAGGAATTTACATTTGCATTAGAAAATTCAAAAGGTGTACATTATATAAGAATTTAATTTTATTTAAGTAATTTTAAATGATTTTTTAGAACAGTTCCTCCTTCTCGAATTCTCAGTACCAGTAAAAATAAATATAAAATAAGATATAAATATAAAATAATTCGCTAACAAACTAAACTAGATAGCC